CTTTGTTTTATTAACTAACTCGTCAGAATTGGTGAATATTTAGCCCAGAACTCGCAGACTGTGAATGCAGTTGGTAATTTGGGGATGCATGCGTGTGAGAACTCTGCCTTGTCTGTTTACTGGGTATTAATTAATCCAAGAAGGCATCTTGGTATTCTGAAGTTGCACAGAAATGGAAACTTCCCTGACAATGTTTTATATAAAAAGTACAGTTACTCCTTCAGACCAACTCTGAAGAACTATGAAAAATCTAAGAAATAATTTTGCACTGTTAAGTTCTTGCTTTTTCTGATGTCACAAGGTTGTTTTTAGAATAACAATCACTGAGCAGTGCAGTGGAAGAGGGAAGGGGGTCTCTACACAAAAAATAACCCAGGGCATCTTTCTGCAGCTATATACCGTGCTCCGAGAGAATACATGTGGCAGTGACAGAAATGGCAGCCTTGTTCCCAAAAGTAAGTACCTGCCACCATCAGAATGGTTTTGGTCTCACTCCTTACATGGAATTCCCCTTCAGAATGAAAATGGAAAATTATTTCACCTTCAGAATGAAAATGGTAGGGAGAAATGATGGGGTTATGATGCACTTTTGGATTTATTAGCATGGCAACTGGTAAGGGCCAAAGTGTGAGTCCAGGCCTTTAATTGTACTCTTGAACTTAAAACTTGTAAAAATTGCACAAAACTGAAGGTATTTGGATCTGGCATGAAGAATTGTGTGGTTCTATGGGAATTTCACCAGACTCATCATCCCTTTTTCCATCTGAGTGCCATCTCCTAGATTTCTTTCCTGCAGCCACGTTTAGATCTGTTATCCATCCATCAAAGTAATCTTTTTGCTCACAGCAAATTTAGGGAGTGAAATCCCCATGACTGAGTTCCTATTAAGCCTCACCCACCTCTCCAAAACTGCAAGGAAAGAGCCAAGGCTGCTGTCCCACCCTGTACTGATTGTCCTGGACATGCTGTCCCCTCCTGGCAGCCGGGACGTGGGCTGGGACAGTAAACAGGCACCAGAAATGTGCATGAGTAACTTCCTAAGGGAGGGCATGCAGCAATATTCCCTGCCTGCTGCCTGGAACCTCCCCAGGAGGAGAAATTCCCTCTGCTGCCACGAGGGGAAGGCAAGGCTTGGCCACAGCATCAAAGAATCCTTTATAATTTATAATTATTTATAATTTAATTTTATAATACTTATTTCCCTAAATCGTCTGTTCTATTAATATTAAATATTAAATTTTACAACTTTAAAACTAATTCCAAAAATAAAAAAAAACAAAATTTATTATCAAAAACTACTTATGCTTATTCCCCCACATCTTTTACACAAACTATATTATCTACACTAAACAACAAAAATTCTCCTTTACTTTTAGTTAGATTAACTAAAACAAAGAAACTCCCTAAAGTATATTTTATATTTTTCCTTTTTTTCAAAATTATTCAAACCTAAACTAAAAACTAAAAAAAAGCACCAAAAACTCATGCCTGTAACCCACTAAACCTAATCTAAATCACATTTCCCAACACCAAAAAAACTAAAAACAAACTAAATAAACCAAACTACAAGCCACAAAAAAAAACTCTTCTAAATCTATCATCTCTTCAAAACAACAAAAAATTTTACGGTTTAATATTACTCATTTTTATACTAAAAAATACTTTACCTGTTAAATAAATTATTTTTTTTACTTCTCTCCAAAAAAATAACCAAACCAATTATTTAAAAAACTACTTAAATCTATTTCCTAGAAAAAACCCATTGAAAAATTTCCTCTCAAGTTTTCCCTAAACCAAAACATGTCATTGTAAGGTGAGGGAGTGGCGAAAAAATACAGTAACACAGAAAGCAGGAGAAGTGATTTATTGTAGGAATAGACACATTTTTATAAACTGGTTCTCTGAACCAAGGATAGAATAAGTTTTTTGGTTTAAGGAAGGCAACACTTCTTGTAAACATGTTTTTACTAAAACATCACGTTCCTCACACGCTCTCTGTCTACAACACCAGGTGCTAAACTTTGTTATTGATTCTCTCCCTTCTGTTTTCTTTTGAGTAGCTTGGGAAAACTTAAAACTTAAACTGCTGTGTTTCCCTGGCTCTCACCAGCATCTTTGGAATTGCCCATAAGAGAGTTTTGTGTGAACACGGAGCTTTCCCAGGAGCTGGCCTGAGAGCAGAGGTTTTCCCAGGAACAAACCAAGGCACCTGCTACTGTTTACAGAGTGTGTATTTTGAGAACTCTGTTGTTTATAATAAAAACATCCGTGCAAGAAGTGCTGCTTGCTGTGACCAATGGTCTGTATTCTGTCCCTCGTGTATATTTAAGGAGTGTGTGTTACAATAAACTTCATCTCTTTCCTATCTTGAGGGATGACCATGTTGCTGTGTGCTTTATTACCACCATTCCAAGGGTTAATCCCCTAACTAACAGCAACAAGCATCCACAAAAAGAAACATTTATTGGCGCCCAACGTGGTTTTTTTTTTTTTTTTTTTTTTTTTCCCTTCCCAGAAGCCCAAATCGGAGCTGGTGAGGGCTTCCCTGCGCCTGCTGACATCCAGTGCCTACAGGCTGCAGTCGGAGTGCAGGAAAGCGCTGCCCGCCGAGCCCAGCCCCGCGCCCGACATCCAGCTGGTGACACAGCAGGTCATCCAGTGCGCCTACGACATCGCCAAGGCCGCCAAGCAGCTCGTCACCATCACAACCATCACAACCAAAGAGAACAACAACTGAGGCACTCGGGGTTTTTGGTTTTTTTTTTTTTTACTCTGGGGGTTTTTGGGTTTATTTTTAAAGGTTGGATTTCAGCGTAGAGGTGTGGAACTATGCGCGTTTTTACGAGGAAAAAAAATTTCAAGGGGCAAGAAACTTTTTTTTTTTTTTAACTCAGTATTATTTTTGCATGTTTTCTAACAATTTTATGATTAATTTAACCCACTGCCTTATTTTGTTGCCAGTGTAGTTATGGATAATAGCATGTTGCAAGTAGCTGTCGAGCCACTCTCATGTCCCTGCGCTGTACCGAGCTCTCGTAGATGTTTCCTTGGGGCCACGTTCTGCTTTCAGGTCCTGCTGGTGGAACTGCTCTGACACCACTGCACGGATGGGAGGGCAGCATCTCCATCCCTCCATCCCTCCCCTGCTGGGATCCTGCTGACTGAGGCTCCCCAGGCTCCAGGACTGCTCCCAGCAGGAAGAAGGTTTGTCCTGGTAACGGGGTACAAGCCCAACGTTCTCTGTTCCCATATCAACTGTTGTGCAATATGTTTTTTAGTCTGCTAAAACCAGTAGTAGTTGTGGGCATCCAAGCTTGTTATGTGTAACTCTACAAGGTCTTTGTCACTTTATCTGTTTTGGAAGGAATTTGAAACTTAATAGTTATTTCTTTTAGTTGTCACTATGCCATTAATATATATGTTTGATGTTACTTTAGGGCATTAGTGGTTAAAATATTATCCTTTGTTTCTGAGTTAGTAATTCATTGTTAAGTTTCCTGCAGAATTTTCCTGTCATCTTTGAGGCACCGTCTTGTTTGCAGCAGCATTTCTCAGTAACTCCAGATGCAATTTCTCTGAAGATTTCTGTGCTCATTTAACAGAAAAAGGAAGTTAAAGAGTGCCAGTGCAAAAGCAGCTGTGTCTGCCACAGCACATAACCTCTGTACCTCAACATATCCAAATGTGAAAACATTTCTCGTATCTCCTAAGTTTTTATGCAAATCTTTCAAAATTTGACAACTTGCTAAGTAACCCCTGCCAGGCTGCCTGGCCCCAGTGGCCATGTGTGCTCCAGATTTCTTCTTAACAGTTCACAAAAGTGTGTCAGTCCATAATTTCAAAAATTATGAGTATTTTTTGGAGTCTGAATTTCAGTGGTGCAGGAAATCACTGATTTTTGCCTCTGCCTGTGTCCCATTTGGAAGTGCATTGTCACTGCCCAGGAGCCAGCCATGGTGTGTTTGTGTGGATATATCTAAGCACAAGTGCCACAGCACTGCTGGATTCCTGGTGCTGTATGGCTCCCAGAGTCTGAGAGAGGGAAGGAATGGAGAGAGGAGATGACAGCCCAGTGAATTAATGTGCTTCACTGTGGGCTTTTATTTCCTTTCTGCCCTTCTGAACCCCAGAAGCAGCTCTAGCCTGACAATGCAGGCAGGCTGGCATTAAAACTGCAAATGACCTTTGTGAAACCTACTTCAAAATCATGCAATTAATTAAATACATTGATAATCTTCTAGGAACTTTTCCTTAAATTGGCATGGCTGAAAAGCAGCAGATGGCATTTTTCAGTCTCTCAGGACACTTGTGTGTGCTGTTCTTTAACATATCTTACCTACTTTCCAAAGCAGGGTGACACTGAGCTATGGTGTAATTTATCACTTATTTAAACCTGCCTTTGATCCAAAACCAAGGGACACTTTAGTAACTGCCAGCCCCTGCTCCAGCTATGATGAAATCAGAGTGGTTCACACCCCACAGGAACCTCCAGCAGCAAGTTCATGAACCCTCCACTCACAGCACTGCAATCACAGAGTTTGTAGCACCTCAAGTAACAAAGGTGTGTTTTTCTTTTAGGACTAGATCTCCTCTTGTTCCCCTGTAAACAAACTTGCTCTTCCTTTACAAAATGCTGCAGAGGAAAGGAAAAGCTTTTTTTTGCCTTTTTCCAAACCTTGTATTTATCAGTGTCATTCTGTCTGTACAATATTTTGACTTTTAATCTTTTGTTTACAGTATTACTATAAAATGCTAAAACCCTTTCAAGTGTGTGAAATAATGTGGGCTTATTTGACTGCTGGTTCTCTAAAGATCTTTGGAAAGGTATCTACTCTTGAGTAAAGTGCCACTCTTTGTCACAGCCCTGTAACAGCTCCTTGTGCACTGTGCCAGGACTGATGTGGATGGTAACAGCAGGGAAGGAACTGCAATAATAACTCAGTCTTCTCTCCTGTTGCTGCAGTAGTTCTCTCATGTAAAAAAAAAAAACAACAAAAATCCATTATTTATGAAACAAGTGAAAAACAACATTTAATGAAGTCTCCAGCACCTTCTGGAGAGAAACTGGACAAGCACTGCTGCCACAGCACACATGACTGATTTGCAATGTGCATTATGAATTAACTCCTCAGAGTCCAGTGGGAACACAGGCACAGCCTGATTCTCCAAGGTGGGCTCCTGTTCCTGGGGAGACACAGATTCTTTTGTGGCTCAGGTCCACAGGGCCCTTTTATTTGCTGGGTTGCTTCAGCCTCTCATGTACTGAAATACATGAGCACAGTTCCAGAATGCAAAGTGAAGCAGTTCACTTCTCTGAAGGTGCTCACACATCCACATTCCTGAAGGCAGTAAAACTTTTCTCCTCTTCAGCTTGGCCACAACTAAATGTTGTCAGAAATCTACTGAGTCAAGTCTTGATCTCACTGTATGCTATTCCAGAAGCACCATTATTTCAGGAGTTCCTTGAGTCCTCAGAGTTTTCTTTCTGTAGTCTGGAGCTGCATCTCGTGTTCATTCCTCAGGTCCAAGCTGCTCTTGGGTAACTGTAGAACTAATGGGGTCAAAACAAAGACCAGCACTGGTTTATGGGCTCTGGAATTAATCCACACACATTGTTCAGCATGCACAGGAGCTGATGGGCTGGGCAGGGGCTTTAGGTAGGGTTACTCAAATTTGATTTTAGAGCCAGGCAAAGCAGGACAGTCAACACAGACACTGAGCAGGGGAGTTGCACTGTACCAACTGCACTGATGCAGCCAATAAATCCCTTACAGCACTGAGCAACATTTGAGGCATTAGCAACACATCTGCCTCAAAAATTCTTGAGAAGTTAGGGCTTAACATATCAGTATCAGCAAAAAAGAAAATAAACCTGTAGAGCTCTGTGAGGGGAAGGAACAGCCCGGTGTTGTAGCCCTGTGATGACTAAAGTGCAGATCAGAGACAATGATGCTGTCCCCCTCCATGCTGAGCTGGTTTGTTGGGGTGACCCAGGTGTGACCTTACCCTGCTGTGCTAGCCCTGCTCACCCTCCTGCAGCTCCAGCTCCTCGAGGTGCTGCTGGGCCCATCCCTCCTGTTCCTCCTCCTCTCTCCAGCTGTGCTCTGTTCCCTGTTCAGTGGAAATCAGGTGAGATGGGGCAGCCTCAGCAGCCAGGTGTGTACTGGGGAGCTCAGCCTACCTGTGCCTGTAGCTCCCTCCTGTGGGCTCTCTGCTGTTCCTCCTCCTGCTCCTTCTCCAAACGAGTCCTTTCCTTTGCCTTCTCGAGTTCTCTGATGAGCTGCTCTCGATACTTAATGGACTCTTCTTGGGCCCGTCTGTTTAACTCCATCTTCTCTTGGATCTGGCGCTGTCTGCCTGCAAGGACCTGTGCAAAGGGAGAGGGGATGGAGGGACAAGATGGTTAAACAGTTCCCAGGAAACACACCAGACAAAAGCAAAACAATTCCACCCTGGAATGGAAAGCTCTAACTCTCCAGAGCATGGTGGGTTACAGGTGCAGTGATGGTTTCATTGAGCCAAGGGAGACACATCATCAGTACAGACATCACCTCACTCATCAGGCGATCTCTGGCCACCTTCTCTCTTTCCCATTCTTCTTCCCTCTTCTCCCATATTTTTTTTGCTTCTTCCCTAAAGAAGAGAGGGAGAATTATCTCTGAGGTTAACCCCCCTGTATACTCCACAGGCACAGACAAGCTATCCTGTGCTTTAGAGCAGCACTTGGGTTTCTCTTCAGGTTTGTTCTCTGCCAGTTGGTGTCACCATCCCACCTGTGCCTCTCAGCGACCCCCGACCCGGAACGTTTGGCACACATGGGCTCTTCGGGTGAGGTTCAGAGGTGGGCAGACTCACCTGAAGATAGTCTCGAGCTCTGCTTCCCTCTCCTTTTCCAGCTGGAGCTGTTCCTCGATGACCCTCTTCATCCAGGCCACGTCTGCCACCGCCCATTCCCGCCGCGCGATCTGCCCGCGCTGATCCTCATCTTCTTTCTCCAGGAGGGCTGATAAGATTTGCCTGTCTGCCTCCTGGAGAGAAACCACGAGATTAACAACTATCCAACAGCCTTCCAGCCTGTGTGCAGGGCTCCTCTAGGCATTACTGCTGACAGTGTCAACAGTGTGCTCAGCAAGATGTTCCAGTGCTGCTTCCCCGTGAGCTTTGTGCTCCAGCCCTGTGCACAAGCTGAAGGGGGCTCCTGATCTGTAGCAATCAGAGGCAGACACAAACCACGCACAAGTTTTTTCACCACACAGCATCTATAAAGTTTAAATTAATCTCTTACCAGCTCCTCCTGTATCTGCTGTGCTCGTCTCCTTAACTGGACGTCACATTGATGCTTCAAAAAGCGACTGAAGGAAGAAAAAAGCAGAATTTAAAAAAGAAAACAGTACCACGCAGACTCTAAAGCACCATGCCATTGTACAGCAGCATTCAAGGAGATACATCTGTGATAATGAGGAACCTGCTACCAGGAACAAAAAGCAGTAACAGCACCAGAGCCTTGGCTCTTTGGCTACTGTGGGCAAGTCCACCAAAACCCAGATATTTACATCCTACCACTGCTACCTGGAATATCTCCTTGTGCCCCAAGTACTGCTGTGGGCATAAGAACAGATTCTATCCAAAACAAGCTCCACTTGGTGTCCTACCCAAGCTCTTTCTTCCTCCAGTGATCTTCCAGTTGTTTCCTTTCTTCTTCCAAATTCTCCAGCTCCCACTGCTGCTTTAATAAATTCTCTTGTTCCTTTTTCAGCTTTGTTGCCTAAAAAGGAAAACACAAGCACCAAGAGAGAGCACATCAGAGAGCCACAACATCCCAGAGAGCATGCTTGACCAGAGTTTGTATCCTGTTCTGCTCCTCTGCAGGCAGGGAAAACCCTCCCTGCAGTGCAAACATGGAGAGAAGAGGTCAGGTCAGCCTTGCTGTATTTCCAAGTGAAGCAACAAATTCCTTTCTCAAATGAGGAGAAAGTCAAGATTACCTTTGTCTCCTGCAATTTCAGTTCTTCTATCTGCTGAAGCAATGTCTCTGCTTGCTGTTTCTCCAGCTGACCCTTTTCTTCCTCTTGTCTCGTTCTTTCCAGCGCTTCCCCTCGTGCCGTTTCGTGACTCTTCTCTTCGAGTTTGGTCACCTCTTCCTGTCCCAAAGAAAAGAAAACAGCATTTCAGGTTAGCCTGACACAAAGAAACAACTTCTGGCTCGGAAAATCCACAGAGCAGATTTGTGCAAGCTGGATGGCTTTGTTAACAGTGCCCTTCCTGGCAGCAGCTCCCGTGGCACAAGTGTCACCCCTCCACCTGCACAGGCATTTCAGAGTCCTCCCAGTGACCAGAACACCGGAGCTACCCCCATACCTTGTTTTGTTGTGTTAGCTGATCACCCCAAGCCTCTCTCACGTGCTTCCTGTGCAGCTCTGACTCTGCCTGGAGACACAACAGATGCAGCAGGGATATCAGTGCCAGGGGTTCCGTCCCCCAGGATCTTCCAGGCTCACCTGGCCCTGAAATCTCAGTAGGATCTGCCTCTGCTCAGGTGGGCTCATCTGAGTGTCCGAGGTGCCCACCAGGTCCTGAGCTGAGGGTCATTGTCACATGAGAAACACCACGGTGACAGAGATACAGGACTGCGATGTTGGAGCAGCATGTGGGTGGAATAAAGAATGAGGAAGCACCACAGCACAGCACGTACAGCTAAGATATTAAGATTTTTATCTTTTATATTATTGATATTTTTTGCATCTGAGATATTTACACTGTGAGCTCAGAAAATTTGTTCAGAGTCTGAACAGATTTCTGACTTTTAAAAATACAGCTTTGAGAGAGCTTCTTAAAACTATTTAAACTTAAACATTTATTTGCCTTTTGTTTATGAGAACTTGGGGCAGTTGCTGTGATGCGAGATGAGTGACAACAGTAGAGGTATGACGACTTGCAAGTTAAAAACTGGTTTAATAAATACAAGACAGCAAGGACTCAAGAGAAAGCAACATCACCTCTCGGATGGCGTTGTTTTTGTTCCAGCGCTCGTGCAGCAGCGGCTCAGCAAACTGAGAACACAGAGCTGGGTCAGGTCAGGATCCTGGAGTGCTCAGCATCCCAAACCCCGCCGAGGCTGACAGGGATTCAGGGCACCAAACGGTGGCAACTCAGCAAGTCCCGGTGGTACGGCCGAAGCACGGGACGAGCCCCGGGATGCGGGACGAGCACGGCCGGGCCGCTCCCTCACCTTCCTCCCGCACTCTCCGGGGCCGTCCCGCAGCTCCTGGCTCCGCATCCCGCCCCGCCGCAGCTCCCGCAGCTCCGCCGCCAGCGCCGCCTCCTCCTCTCCCAGCAGCCGCTCCAGCCGCTCCCGCCGCCGCTGCAGCCGCGCCGCCGCCTCCTCCGCGTCCCGCCGCGCCGCCTCCGCGCTGCCGCAAACACCGGCAATCAGCGGGACCCCGGTACAGCCCCGGGACCCGCCGGACCGCGGCCGTACCTGGGCGGGGGGACGCGGGGCTCGCTCCACCGCGCCTGCAGGGAGCAGCAGGCGGCGGCGCGGGCGAAGGCGCGGCTGGTGTTCTCCCACTGCTGCCGGCTGCGCGCCTCCAGCTCCCGCCGCTCGGCCGCCCTGCGCTCCGCGCCGCGGCCCCACCGCGGCCACAGCGACATGGCAACGGCCCGCAGCGACGGGTCCCGCCGAGGGACACGGCGAGACGGGCTCCGCGAGCACGGAGGGAGGCGGGGACCGGCGGAGGGAGGCGGGGAGAGAGGAGGGCGAGCAGGGAGGGAGATGGAGCGACGGATGGGGGTCGGTTCGGTTCGGTCCGACTCGCCCCGGCGGTACCGCCGTACCCCGAGCGCTCGCAGGATGTGCGGGTGTACAGCCCGAGCCGGGCGCGGTGCTGCTGTGGCGGCTCGGAGAGCGCAGCAGCGCGGGGTTTGTTTCAGGGGTTAAAGGTTTCTGTTTCTGCCCGCCTTGGCAAGACACCAGCGCGGCGCCGCCCGCCGCGAACCCAACCGGACCGGCCGCTGCGTGACCCGGGACAGGCCGGGCACCGCCGAAAGGGCTCAGGGCATCCCGAGAAAGGCTCAGGACATCCCGGAAGGGGCTGGGTACCACTGTAGAGACTCCGGGCATGCCGGAACGGGTTCTGGGCATCCCGAGAGAGCCTCGGGACATCCCGAGAAGGGCTCAGGGCATTCCGGAACGGGCTGGGCACCACGGGAGAGACTCCGGACACGCCGGAACGGGCTCTGGGCATCCCCAAAGTGAACTCTGGACATCCCAGGATGGGCTCTGAGCACCCAGGGGTGTGCTCAGGGCACCACAAACACCACAAAGCTGGATCCTGGCACCCCGAGAGGGGGTCCGGGCATCTCTCAGGACGGGCTCCGGGCACCACGGGAGTGTGGCAGCGGGGAGGGAGCTGGCACCAGCCGGCAGCCCCCGCCGGTGAACGGCAGCTCCCCGCACCCGCCTTGTATCCGTACCCGCCCTGTCAGCCACCGATCGCTATCGCCCCACGACTTGTTTTTCCAGAATAACCGGTAAAAACACCGTATTTGGGGCCCTATCACCGGCAAGTCCGCTCCCCACGCAGCGCACGGGCTGAGCCTCCCTCCGCTACCACCCCTTCTTCACCTCTTCGTGTCCCCGCCCGGTGTCATTTTCCCACCCAACCCCTCACTGAGGTGTTTCATCACTCCCGCGCGTTGAGGTTTGTTTTCCATCTGTTCCCTATAAAATATTTATGTCCCGTGAATAATTAACGCCGGCCCGCCTGACGCTCGGAACTCGGCCGGGGCAGCGCGGGGTCCTGGGCACGGCCAGGCCCCGAGTCTGAGGGGGCGATGGGGGCGTGGCCTCCCCTTGGGCTGCAAGCCCCGCCCCTCGCCTCTCCGACCAATGGCTGCGTATCGGCCGTACGGAAGATGCGCATCCATTGGTCGAGGAGGCGGGGGGGCGGAGCGTGGCGTGGGCGTGCTGCCGGGTCGGCCCTCGCTGCTCTCAGAGCCCCCTCAGCCGGGGAGCGGTGAGGGGGAAAGCGGGGACGGGCTGTTGGTCATGGCGCTGCTGCTGGAACACGAGTTCAAGCCGCTGCCGGCTGATAAACAGATCGAGACTTTGCCCTTCCTGGAGGCCGTGGCGCACCTGCCTCCGTTCTTCGGTGAGACGGGGGTGGCTGGGGCTGGGAGATGCGGGCTGGGACCAGGCCTGCTGCGGGCTCAGCTGCTCCGGGGTGCCCCCTCCCCAGTTCTGGATGTGACCCCCCTACCTGATCCAGGGCTCCCGCCGGGCTTGGCTGCTCTGTCAGAGCCGGGGTTGCATCACGATCCTGTCAAACCTGCCGAGCAGCCCCGTTGGGAAGCGTCCTGCCGTCCCCTGGAGCGCCCCATCCAGAAGCATCACCCGGAGCAGGAGCTGCCATCCCACCCATGGATCCCACATGGGTGTCGGGACATGGGTGGGTGTCGGCGTGGCCGCCCCCGTGGCACAGTGTGCCCGCTGCCCTCCACAATGTCAGCTATTGTGTGGCGGCTCGGTGGCAGCTCCGGAAGAGCAGGACATGGGGCTGCCTGCCTGCGGACGAGCAGTGTCCGGTGCCGGTCAGGCTGTTCCAGGACGTTCTGCCAGGGCTGTGTCCCGGAGCCAGGGGGATTGGAGGTCACTGGTGGGGCCGCAGTAGGTGGCAGGGCTGTCCCAAGGGCCAACAGCCATGTACGAGATCCTTTTCTAGTTTCGCTGGTGTGTCTCAGTGCCTAGGCTGTGCTTAAAGTGAAACCTGTTGGTTATGGGAAGTCTGTGGTGTCCCCTGTGTTATAAATGAGAGACAAAAGTCTCGATATTTAGCAAAATTTAGATTGTTTTATTTGATATAGAAAGAGCAAGCAGCGCGCTGGGGAACGTGAGGGGTCACCGCCCACTCCACGCTCCACCAAACCTCGGTTTGCAGCCTCTTCTTATACTGCGGTTTCTCGTTGTACACAAATTCACGAAGCCTTTGGGTGATAACCAATCACAGATGGAGGTCTGGTCTTTGTAGATAACCACCAGAGAAGTTCTGGAGGTCTGGTCTTTGTAGATAACCACCAGAGAAGTTCTGGGAGTCTGTTTTTTGGGTTAGGCAGTATTGATTAGACAAAGGCAGGAAGGGCTTTTTGGGAAGTCCGATTTTGCAAGCTGGTAGCCGATACAACTTATTTGAAAAACATAACATAACATATATTATGTTGTATTATGTTACATTATAATAACATAACAAGGTGATTTTAAACAGAATTATTTAATCATATAATTTCCTGTATCTAGTTTCCATGCTTCACTTCAGAGCTTAGTATTCTGGTTTATACAAACCCCAATGCTTTTGTGATTAACACGAATCTTTTATCAATTATCACATCTGTGTCACCAGTGTCTAACTGTCCTCCCTTCCTGTCTCCACAGATTGCCTGGGGACTCCCATTGTCTACTCGCCTGTCAAAGCAGACCTGGCTGGAAATATCAAGGTAGGAAGGGTTTCAGGAGGGCTTAGAGAGGAGAATCCCTGGGGAGAGATGCTGTGGGAGTGGCAGTGTTTCAAAAGGCTTTTCTTCCCACGGGGACTTTGGGCTTAGCTGTGGCTCCTCCAGTCACAAGTTTATTCCCAGGGCTCCTGCCCAAAGTCCTTGCTCCTGGAAGCCAACCCCGTTTTCTGCCCTCAGAAAATCCGGGCTGTTTATGACTCTAACCCTGCCAAGTTCAAAACGCTGCAGAACATCCTGGAGGTGGAGAAGGAGCTGCATGGCTCGGCCTGGCCCAAGACGGGCGCGACGCTGGCGCTGATGTGGTTGAAAAGGTGACTCACGGCGTCGGGAGCTGCTCCGGCTGTGTCCCAGCATGTGGGGAGCTGGAGAATGCCAAATGGAGCCTGTGTGGGCTGGGGCTGGGCAGTGTGGGGAGCACAGCTTTTGGGAATCCCCCTCCTCAAATCTCCCCTCCTGGGAATGCACAGGGGAATTCAACCTCAGAGCATGAGACCACGAATTGGACAGGTCAGGAAGATCCATGGGGCTGCACCTGACCCTGCCCAGCTCAGCCCTCAGCCTCACCTGGGGGTTCCATCCTGCCCTGGTCCCCATGTCCTGCCCTGGGGGCTCCATCCAGCCCTTCTCTCTCTTCCCTAGGTGGACACACAGGGACAGGCACCAGCTCTGTGAGAGGGATGCACTGCTGGGACTCTGGGTTTTTGGGATGCTTGGAAACGCCAGGCTGAAAGTTGGGAAGCAACACCAACTTCCCTGAGTCCAACACCTCTGCTCTTCTCCCAGGGGTCTGAAATTCATTCTGGTGTTGCTGCAGAGCATCTCTGATGGCGAGAGGGATGAGGAGCATCCCAACCTCATCCGAGTGAATGCCTTGAAGGCTTACGAGATTGCACTGAAGAAATACCATGGCTGGATGCTGCAGAAGCTCTTCACGGTGAGCATTCCCTCCCTCTCCAAGCATCCAACCATCATCCCTAGGGCTGTTCCCATTCCCTGACAAGTGTTCAGAGACCCTACGGTGTTGGCACATGGGAACAGCCCATCCCATGATCTCTGTTGGGTTTGTGGGAGTGAAACAACCTCTCCCTGTTTTATAGGGCTCAGTCTACGCTCTTCCCTACAAATCCGATTTGCTGAAGGCCTTGGAGAAGGGTAAAGAAGTCAAGGAAGAGGAAAGCATAGAAAAAATCCACCAGTTTCTCGCGAGGGTCACTCCAATCCTGGATGCAATTTATGAGATGTACACGAAGATGAACGCTGAGCTGAGCTACAAAGTCTGAAGCTGGCACAGGATTGGCACAGATTAAATAACGTGTGATGGGTGTTTCCTATGTCTTCACCACTGAGGCAGCTGGGGCGGCTCCCAGCTCTCCGGTGACTTCGATTCCTGTCTGGATTTGCAGTGGATAACGTCTTTTCTAACCAAAAAAATAACAGTAATTAACTTTCTATTAAGAATACGGCAATAAAACAATTGTGGGTGTCACCCTCGGATTTCCCAAGAGGAAGAACAAGTGTTTCTAGTCCCCAGCTCTCGGATTCCTGCCTTCAGTGGGGCAGGGAATGAAGTGTCCTGCTGATGAATGAAGTGGCACTTGGACTGTGCCTGGAACCCACCGATGGGCACCTCATGTTGATTGGCACTGGATTGTCCAGAATGATGCCCGTGGTGGAGGAGCTGATGACTTTCCCGGGCGACCCCAACTCCTCCAGTGCTGTTGTAGGATCGAGCCCCTCCTCCAGGATTCGGAAACCAGGGAGTGTCCCCATGGTGTTTGCGGTGCCTTATGAGCCCCCCTCGCTTCCTGAGCCCCGGCGGGAGCAGCAATTAATAAAAACTGACAGTACCCGTGGCCTGGGAGCCTCATTTGGGGCTGCTCATGGGGGCTGTGTCAGGAAGGGCTTTTTAGGGAAGGTGTTTTGGGTTTTTTTCCTAGGGGAGCTGGTTTCAGGAGGGTTTTGAGGAGGGTGTTTTGAAGCTGTATCCTAGGGGAGTTGTTTTTGGGAGAGTTTTTGGAGCTCTTCTTTGAATGGCCATGTCAGAGACGTTTTTCCCGGGGGCTTATTTTTTGAAGGGTATTTTAGGGCTGTTTCTTGTGGGCTGTTTTGTGGCCGGTATTCCCGGGGGACTGCCCGGGAACGGCCCGGGGGCGGGAGCCGATCCCGAGGGCGGGTCCCGGTGCCGCCTCCGCCGCTGGAGGAGCCGGGGCCGGGGCGGGGAGGGGCCGCTCTGGGGACCGGCCCCGAGCGACTCGGCGGCGCCGGAGCCTGCGGGACTTTCCACGGGACCTTTGGCGGTACGGAGCCGGGGAAGCGGGCAATGGGGGGGGCATGACCGGGAGTGAGACCGGCCGGGACACTGGGACCGGGGCTGGATGGAGCCTCCGGTACGGGGACATGGAAACTGGGGCAGGATGGAGCTCTCCGGGCAGTACACGGGGTCTGGGGCAGGATGGAGACCCCAGGTGAGGCCAGGGTCGAGGGCTGAGCTGGGCAGGGCCAGGTGGACCCCTATGGATGCCCCAGCACTGTCCGGGCAGCCTCAATCTGAGATTGAGGTGCCGGGTCGGTTCCCTTTGAGGAGGGGGCTCCCACCGGCTCTGTACCCCCGATACACCCGAGGGGAGCACGGGCCCAGCAGTGAGGTGAATTTGGGAAGCAGCTGCATCACTCCGGATGAGGATTTCCGACAAGAACCCGCTGTGGTTTCAGTGATTCACTGCCACCGGATCACCCTTTAATGTCATGGGACACCCTCCCTGCCGCCCACCCAGGGATGTCCCCGCACATCCCCGTGTTGGTGACAGCGTCCGTGCTCCCGTGGTGGGCTGGAGTGGGCACTGACTGGGGACACTGGTCCAACTGGGAGGCTCCTCGGTGGGAAGCTGGGAAGAGGTGGGAGCACAGGTGGGGTTTGTGTTGGATGTGAAGAGCTGTGCCTTGACTCAGTTATTCCATGAGGTGAGGAAGTCTGAAAAATCCAAACCCAAATAACTTAAGGGGCCAAATCAAACTCCTGTGACAGCACCTTTCCTGGCAGTGCCCGGGCTGACGGCACCAGCCCCGAGTCCCTCATTTCCCACAGAAGCGTCGGTCCTGGCTGGTGACAGCAGGTGTGTGACAGCCTGTGCCATGTCCAGCTTTTCCCTAAAGCTGCACTTTTCCAGGTCTCAGCACAGTTTGGACAGATCAGGTGCTCAATCCCCATTCCCAGCCCGCAGGATCCATGGCTTGGCAATTCCCTCTTCTACATTGTCCAAGGTCAAACCGGCCATGCGAGGGCCCCTGTTTCCATGGGGTCGGGATGTGGGACCTGCGGACTTTGGCAGGTGCTTGTGGAATTTCTTAAAGAGACGGGAATGGCAGGAAAGTCAGCAAAGAGGAGAAGCTGTCAGCTTTGTGTTCCCCAGGGCTTCACTGTCCTTTCTGGGTGTCCCCCAGGGCTGTGCCATCCCTGCTGTGTGTCCCCCAGGCTTGCACTGTCCCCACTGAGTGTACCCCACGGCTGCACTGGCCCGTCTGGTTGTCCCCCGAGGCTTCACCAGCCCCACTGGCCGTCCCCCAGGGTGGCAGGGAGAAGGGGACCCTGCCTGGACCTTCTCCCTGTCACTGCAGGATTTGGGGCCGTTTGCCACCCTCATCCCCCGTGCCCACGGGAGCCCCGCGTGGCTTCCAGGACCTGCTGCCTCATTCAAGCCCTTTCCCCGGCTGGGCTGCCCTCCCGACAGGGCGCAGCCTGCCACTGTGGCTTGTCGCACAGAGCTGCAGCCCAGCGCAAAATGACACGTTTCCCGCTGCTTTTTCTGTCCCGGCAGGGCTGAGGTCCCTGCAGGCGGGAGCTGTGCTGAGCTCTGACGCTGCTGCGTTTCGCCGGAGGGTTTTTGTTGAAAGCGGGGCTGGGGAAGTGCCTGAGGACGGTCACCTGTCCGTGTCCTGGACGTGGCGGGCAGCACACTGTGACACGGTACAGCGCTCGGCTGGCCGCGCTCATAGCACGTCTCTCTTTCATCTCCACGTCCCTCTGGGCAACCTAAACCCGTAATTTCTTGTCCCAGCCGCTCCTCCTGCCCTCCCGCGGGCTGCAGCCTCCCCCGTGCCGCGCCCGTCCCCTCCCGGTGCCCAGATCCGGGTCCCACCGAGCCCCCCTGGGTTGCGGAGCATCAGGAGCAGCCCTGGCTCCGCTCCCAGCCCTGCTGTGGTGGCAGCTTCTGCCGCCTCTGGGCGCTTCCTTGGACGCTTCCTTGGATGTGGGGAGTATCCCAAGGAATGTTTTCTTTCCTTGGGCGGCAGATCGCAGCGCACAGGGTCTGCTCTGTGCCCTGTCCTGGGCTGCACCCCGGCTGACCGCAGCGGGGCCGGGCTCGCCCTCGCCCAACACGGCAGCGCCGCAGCCAGAGAGGCCCCCGCAGACCTGAGGGGTCCCCGCAGCGGGTAGGTGGGTGCCGAGGAGAGCCCGGACAAGGCAGGACAATCCGGGAGACTCTGAGCTAACGGGGGTCCCGCCGGCCCCAACCTCTGCCAGGGTGGGTGCGGGACCTGTCCTGCCGCGGGGCTCGGTGCCCCGGGGAGATGACGGGGAGGGTCTTTTGGAGGTGACACGGCGTTTTCCTCTGCCAGGTCTCCTGCTCTCGTGGAAGGGGTCACAGCCAGCCGGGCAGGTCAGTCGTGCCCGTCCCTCCGGGCAGGGACCATGGCAGACACCGAGGATGCTCCGCGCGATGCCGGGGAGGGCGCGGGGGAGGATGGCTCCCTCCCGAATGAATCCTTCCCGCTCTCCTCTCTGGCCAACCTGTTCGAGAGCGAGGACACCCCGAGTCCCGCCGAGGCAGCCCGGGGTCCCCCGGGCGCCGGGGATGGAAAGCAAAACCTCCGCATGAAATTCCACGGGGCCTTTCGGAAAGGCGCCCCGAAGCCCATGGAGCTGCTTGAAGCCACCATCTACGAGTCCCCCGTGGTCCCCGCGCCCAAGAAAGCCCCCATGGATTCCCTCTTCGACTACGGCACCTACCGCCACCACCCCAGCGAGAACAAGCGCTGGCGCCGGAGGATCGCGGAGTGAGTTCGGGACCCCCGCGCCCCCCGGTGCGGCGGAGGGTGCTGGGCTGGGGGCACTCCGGTGGGGATGTTTAGTAGCTGGGGACGTGGGCTGACCTTTGGGGTGCTTTGGGCAGAGGTGCCGCTCGCAGGGAGCAGCTCCATGGCTGTGCCATGCCGTGGTGGGGGTCCGCAGACCCCCGGTCCCGCGGGGCCGGGAGCGCGCTCCCCTTCCCCCTTTACGGGCTCCATGAAAGAGGCTCTGTGCGCCCGGCCTCTCCCCTGGCCGGTGTGGCTGTCTGGCTGCGGCATGAAAGGGCTTTTCAGGAGGGCCTCCGCCCTGCCCGCGCCAGGAAACCGGAGCCGGGGGGGGCAGCCCGCGGCCGGACGCACAATGCCCCTCTGTGCCGGGCACCTGGGACGGCCCGCCAGTGTCCCCACCCAGGGGTGCAGCCGGCTTAGGAGAGCGGGATGTTCCCCCGTCGACGTGGGTGGAGGGGGCCAGGATGCCCCATGCGCCCTCAGCTGGGGCATCCGCCGTCCATCCTGCCCCCATTCTCGGTGCCCCCATTCCCGGTGCCCGGAGCTGTCCCTGGTCCATCCCCCACTGCTGCAGACTGCTCCGACCGGTCTGGCTTCACCCGTGGTGCCGGAGCGTGACCGAGCCCGCGGCCCGTCCCTCCCGGGGGGCACAGCTGGGGGCCCCAAAGCGCTGCAGCTCCCGGCTGGGACACTGGGAGCACTGGGATGCTGTGGATGGGGAGGCTGCCCTGGCCTCTTGGGTGACCTCAGCCGGGAGGTGTCACCAGTGTCTGAGCACCCTCAAGCTCGTTGGGGGAAGCCAAGGCAGCGGCTCCTGTTCCCAGCGCTGGCGTTTTCCCGCAGGAAGCAGCCGCCGGCAGCAAAGGGGCCGGCTCCCGACCCGCCCCCCGTCCTCAAGGTCTTCAACAGACCCATCCTCTTCGACATCGTCTCCCGGGGGTCCCCGGCCGGCCTGGATGGGCTCCTCTCCTTCCTGCTCACCCACAAGAAGCGCCTCACAGACGAGGAGTTCCGAGGTGAGGACCTGGTGCCAGGGCTGAGCCGTGACCACTGGCGATCCCTGGGGGATGCACAGCTCTGGCATGGGGAGCCAGGGGCCTGAGGGGTCTGCCCTGGCCCCCCCTCAGCACCCTCCACTCGCAGAGCCCTCCACGGGAAAGACCTGCCTGCCCAAAGCCCTGCTCAACCTGAGCGGGGGCAAGAACGACACCATCCCCGTCCTGCTGGACATCGCCGAGAAGACGGGAAACATGCGGGAATTCATCAACTCCCCCTTCAGGGACGTCTACTACCGAGGTGGGGGGCGTGGGGCCACTGCTGACCCCGCCTGGGCATGGGGGACACTGTGGGGGGTTCAGGGACCAGAAAAGGGACCTGGGGAGGTCCCGGGGCGAGGCGGTGGCTGACGGGCAGTGGTGTCACAGGTCAGACAGCCCTGCACATCGCCATCGAGCGCCGCTGCAAGCACTACGTGGAGCTGCTGGTGGAGAAGGGAGCAGACGTCCATGCCCAGGCCCGCGGCCGCTTCTTCCAGCCCAAGGGCGAGGGAGGCTACTTCTACTTCGGTGAGCAGCGGGGGTTGCACCCCAAGGTGTCCCCGCAGCGGGGAAGGGGTGACAGGAGCCCCGGTGTTGTCCCCGCAGGTGAGCTGCCCCTGTCGCTGGCCGCCTGCACCAACCAGCCGCACATCGTGCACTACCTGACGGAGAACGGGCACAAGCAGGCGGACCTGCGGCGCCAGGACTCCCGCGGCAACACCGTGCTGCACGCCCTGGTGGCCATCGCCGACAACACCCGCGAGAACACCAAGTTTGTCACCAAGATGTACGACCTGCTCCTCGTCAAGTGCGCCAAGCTCTTCCCCGACACCAACCTGGAGACGCTGCTCAACAACGACGGCCTCTCCCCGCTCATGATGGCAGCCAAGACCGGCAAGATCGGGGTGCGGTGTCCCCCCGTGTTGGGGGACGTCTCTCTGCCATCCCTGCTGAGCCCTGTCACACTCAGTGCGTGCACGGCTTCTCTCTGCAGATGCTGGTGGAAACCTGGATGTGCAGCCTATTAACCTGGCTAATTAACACCCCTTTGCATTCTGGCCCTTTCCTAATTAACTCCAGACCCTCACACAGCCCATCTTCTCCCCTGACCTGCCCTTGGCCTCTGGTGGGGCAGGCAGGGGAATCATCAAAAATACAAAAGCTGCAGCATCCTGGAGGGCTGCGACAGTGTCTTTGCATCAGCCTAGGAGCACCTGGGAGCATCCTGAGCGCGCTGGGGTGGAGTGGGTTGGGGGATGCCCCCAGGATGGGATGGGAGGAGAGCAGCATGCCCCAAGCAGGTGTGGCCAGGTCTGTGGGTAGCAGTCCTCCCTCCCTGCCTCCCTCCGGCAGATCTTCCAGCACATTATCCGGCGGGAGATCACGGACGAGGACGCCCGGCACCTCTCCCGAAAGTTCAAGGACTGGGCGTACGGTCCCGTCTACTCCTCCCTCTACGACCTCTCCTCGCTGGACACCTGCGGGGAGGAGGTGTCTGTGCTGGAGATCCTCGTCTACAACAGCAAAATCGAGGTGTGCAGGGGCTGGGGGGGACTGGGAGGGGTCTGGAGGGGACCGGGTGGCCCTGTCCCCTCTGTCAGCGCCCGTGTGCCACCAGAACCGCCACGAGATGCTGGCCGTGGAGCCCATCAATGAGCTGCTGAGGGACAAGTGGCGCAAGTTTGGGGCTGTCTCCTTCTACATCAGCGTGGTCTCCTATCTCAGTGCCATGATCATCTTCACCCTCGTCGCCTATTACCGCCCCATGGAAGGCCCCGTGAGTCCCCACGCTGGCACAGCCCCAGCTCTGCCTCGCAGGGGGCTCTGCTGGGTCTCTGTCCCAGGGGATGGGGGAGCAGCTCAGCTCTGTCCTCTCCCCACAGCCGCCCTACCCCTACACCAGCACTGCAGACTACCTGCGCCTGGCCGGGGAGATCATCACCCTCCTCACTGGAATCCTCTTCTTCTGCACAAACGTCAGTGTGGCAAGGCAGGGGGTCCTCCCGTGGGATCACTGAACTCTTGGGGTCTTCAGGGGTGACAGCCCCGACCTCTGAAGCATCCACTGCTGCCACAGACATGGGGACCCTTCCACTCGAGACCCACCAACCTCTGCCTTTCTCCCACAGATCAAAGACCTGTTCATGAAGAAGTGCCCAGGTGTGAACTCCTTCTTCATAGATGGCTCCTTCCAGCTGCTCTAGTATGTGGGGAACCCCCAGGGCCACCCCGAGCCACCACAACCCCCAGGCTTGTGGCTGCAGGGTCTGACCCCAACTCTCCTCCAGCTTCATCTACTCCGTGCTGGTGATTGTCACGGCGGGGCTGTACCTGGGTGGCATCGAGGCCTACCTGGCTGTCATGGTCTTTGCGCTGGTCCTGGGCTGGATGAATGCTCTGTACTTCACCCGTGGGCTCAAACTGACGGGGACCTACAGCATCATGATCCAGAAGGTCTGGTGGGGTCGTGAGTCTTGTCCTTCTCCAGGGGTGATGCTCCTGTGGAAGTGCAGCCTTCAGGCTTTGTGGAGGGTTCCTGCGGCTCTCCACTGCCCTGCTCCCAGCCCAGTTGTACTGGCAGCACAGCTTGATAATGATGATGATGCTGTGGACCAGCACACCTCACCCTGCTCTCCATCACTTTCAGATCCTCTTCAAAGACTTGTTCCGCTTCCTCCTGGTCTACCTGCTCTTCATGATTGGCTACGCATCAGGTAAAGAGCCAGGTCCCCTGGCTGGGGGAGGGACAAGCCCTGTGGCTCAGCGTGGCTGGGCAGGGGGCTGCAGACCCCTGGCTCCATCCCACCTGCCCACAGGCTCAGCCTTTCCCTCCTCCCGTGGTGGAGAAGGTCTCAGCCAGCATGGAGCCACACTGGGGCCCATTGTGGATCCTGTCCTTGCCGTTGCCCCTGCGGACTCGCTGTCCCTGTCCCTTCTCCCCCAGCGCTGGTGTCCCTCCTCAACCCGTGTCCCAGCAGTGAGTCCTGCACCGAGAAGTCCAACTGCACAGTGCCCACCTACCCATCGTGCCGGGACAGCCAGACCTTCAGCACCTTCCTGCTCGACCTCTTCAAGCTCACCATCGGCATGGGCGACCTGGAGATGCTCGAGAGTGCCAAGTACCCCGGCGTCTTCATCATCCTCCTTGTCACCTACATCATCCTCACCTTTGTGCTCCTCCTCAACATGCTCATCGCCCTCATGGGAGAGACCGTGGGCCAAGTCTCCAAGGAGAGCAAGCACATCTGGAAGCTGCAGGTACCACCCTGAGGGTGGTGGGACAGGGGCTCCATCCAGGGGCTGCCTGTGCCTGGGGGGCTCCATGGACACCTCCATGCTCAGCAGTCCCTGGTGTGTCTGGCAGTGGGCCACCACCATCCTGGACATCGAGCGCTCCTTCCCGGTGTTCCTGAGGAAAGCCTTCCGCTCGGGGGAGATGGTCACTGTGGGCAAGGGCACAGACGGGACCCCTGATCGCCGCTGGTGCTTCAGGTAAAGGTGGGAGCCCTCGCTGGGGAGCAGCTGAGCCTCCCCCAGCAGAGCCAGCAGCAGTTTGGGGGGCTGCCAGCATGCACTCGTTTGCTTTGCACTGGTCTGGAGGCAGCTGGCATTGCTGGTGGGTGCTGGAGCTCCCGCCCCTCCTCCCGGGCGCTCCGTGCAGCCCCTGCGGGTCTGACCTTCCCCACAGGGTGGACGAGGTGAACTGGTCCCACTGGAACCAGAATCTGGGCATCATCAGTGAGGACCCGGGCAAGAGCGACACATACCAGTACTACGGCTTCTCCCACACCGTGGGCCGGCTGCGGAGAGGTGAGCGCCGTGCTGGGGGCTGGGAGCATCCCTCGGGATGCTGCTTGCAGACTCTGATGAGCCCCAGGAGCAGATCTGGGGGCCTGGGGAGCAGCCACAAGCTCCCAGCTCTGCGCTTCTCTCAGCAGATCGGTGGTCGACGGTGGTGCCACGCGTGGTGGAGCTGAACAAGAGCTGCCCGCCGGAGGAGGTGGTGGTGCCCCTGGGGACCATGGGCACAGCGGAGCCGCGGGAGAGGCGGCACGGCCATGCCCCGAGCTCCCCGCTCTAGCATGGCAGCACCGGCTGCTCACGGACTCTGCCCGGGCTCTGGAATCGCGACTGAGCTGGATGGTGCTTGTCTGCTCCTCAGGGATTCGCGCAGCCACTGCCCCTCCGACAGCCGCTGTCCCGGCGGGTGTCCAGCCCGGATCGGGGTCCTGTCCCCGTCCTGGCAGGTGTCCCGCCTGGATCGGGGGGTCCTGGCCCTGTCCCCGCGGGTGTCCAGCCCGGATCAGGGTTCTGGCCCTGCCCCGGGGGTCCCGGCTCTCACCGGCGAGCTCCGGTGCCACCGCTTCACTTCGCTGTGCCGGGGCCGTGGCTGTGCCGTGCCGGGAGCCTCGGCCCGGGCCGGGGGTGGGGAGCACGGCCCCCACCGCCCGACAAGGCCGACGGTTTTGCCACAGAGATTTGCACAAGATTTATACGATTATTTATTTAGTAATAAAGACTGACCCGCCACCGCCGCCTCCTCCCGGCACTGAGTGATCCTGGATGGAGGAGCTGCCTGCTAACTGGCCGTGCCACGCCATGCCAAGCCAAGCCAAGCCAAACCATGCCAAGCTCTGCGGTGCCTTTGGGCATGGTCACCCATCATGCTGAGCTCAGGTGTGGTACAGGGATGTGAGATGTAGAGGTGTGGTACAGGGATGTGTACAGGTGTGGTACAGGGATGTGATGTACAGGTGTGGTACAGAGATGTGTGCAGGTGTGGTACAGGGATGTGAGATGTACAGGTGTGATACAGGGATGTGATGTACAGGTGTGGTACAGGGATGTGATGTACAGGTGTGATACAGGGATGTGATGCACAGGTGTGGTACAGGGATGTGTACAGGTATGATACAGGGATGTGATGTACAGGTGTAGTACAGCGATGTGTACAGGTATGATACAGGGATTTGATGCACAGGTGCGGTGCAGGGATGCGGTGCACAGGTGCGATGCACAGGTGCTGTGCAGGGCTGCAATTCACGCTGGCTCCACTGGAGGGCAGCACACACCGCGCGATGCGGGGCCGGCCCCGGCGGGCGCGGGGAGCCCGGGCCGGACCCGACCCCGCACCCCGAGCGCAGGGATGGGGCCGCTACCGGGCCGGGGGCAAATCGATCCTTCACACCCCATCCCCATGTCCCCATCGCATGCCTATCCCATCCCCTCCCGTCCCTAGCCCTTCCCTATCCCATTCCCATCCCATCCCATCCCATCCATCACCCCTCTGTAACTCTTTTCCCCCTCTTCCTCCCAGCCACCCGCAGTGGTGAGCGTTCCTTTAACATCTGGACGTTGTGCAGGTGTGAAGGAGCGCTTTGGGTGGGCACCAGGGGCATGGTGGCACGGTGACACTGACAGAGACCCTGGCCAGGGCCCTGGGAACAGCCCAGCTCTCTCTCTCAGCAAACGCTTTAGCAGCAGAGGGGACACTTCATCTTCCAACTTGATGAGTCGCCGTCAGCGTTAACGGCACCGTCTCCGTTTAAATGTGATTTACATACATCTCTCATATTGTGGTTTAAGTATTTCCCCAGGGTGAGGGATGAATATGTTTCATTATCGCTCCCTGGGAGAGGCGGAGGTGGCAGCTCCTGCTTCATAATCGAATGAGCTGCGCTGCTCTGCTTCTGGGCTGGTTCTTAGGTGAAAACAATAAACTTGGCTTTCACCCGACTGGGTGGCCACAGGTCCACAGTGGCCAGTCCTGGCTGGGCCATATGTAGTGGCTGGGGAGCCCTGGAACAGGACTCAGCCATCCCATGTGCCAGAGATGAGCTCAGCGCCGTGGCTGCCCCTGGCTGCAGCACCAGAGATGAGATTTTCCAGTAAAATGAGATATAAACCAATTTTCTCCCCTCCCCTGCAGCTTTTGATTCCCCAAAGCCAAGAGGCCACATGTTATTGGGCTTTAAAAAGATTTGGAGTGTGGGAAGGGCAGCTATCACCAAGCCCCTGCATCATCACTCTACACCCTGTGGTGGCTCTGTGAGGACGGGGCCACCACAGCCACCATGGCGACATCCCGGCACAGGAGGTTCCTGCCACCTTCAGGGATTAACTTTGGCCCTTTGAGCCCCTTCCCCACCAAGCATTGAGCTGTTTCACCCTCAGCTGTAGAGATGGGGGCACCCCAGGGGCCGGTGAACAGGGGGTGCTCAGCCCCGGCCCCCTCCTGCCCCTCCCCACGCCGCCCTGCCAGCGATGACAAACCCAACAAAGGGAAGAGAAAAGCACTTGTCATCCAGAATGCGGAGCGTGGAAGCAAATTTATTTTTAGATAAATCTAAAGCTTAATTTGTGAAGCTAATATCAATCAAAATGAGAGATGGGTTTTTTTAAGTCCTTTTGCAGCCGTGCAATTTATACTGCCTGTCTCTCCTCCTCACTCCCAAACAGCAAAGGCGGCCGCTAAGTTTAATATCAGCCTCATGCACACCTGCCTTCGAAATTGGTATTATTATCGGTATTATTATTGCTATTATTTGAATAGGAAGATATCTGTAGGCCAGAAGCAGCATAGTTTCCTTCAGTGCTCCTCGTGGGTGCTGTGCCCCATGGAATGGAAGGCAATGGGTTGTGGTGTCTTCATTCTCGGTGCTGGGATGTACCTCAGGTGTCCCTGCCCCATCTCCCACTGGTGTCTGTGCACATTTTGGGTTCCCCACGTGCTCACCTGCACCTGCCAGAGCTGGCACTGTGGAGGCAGGTGCCTGCCAAGGAGGGACCCATTTATTTTGTATTCCACATTGAAACCTCCCCGTGCCCAGCGAAATCCTCCTCCCAAGGAGCGATCCGAGGGGAGAATTAACCTGCTAAATAATAAAAACCCCCACACACCTCCTAATGAAATGTAATGACTTGGAGACCTGCAAGATGGATCGCGCCGTCGCTCCCAGCCACTCGCCCTGATTTATGGCGAGCTGGGAAATCTGATGGAGGCAGCACTAATGAATCCTCCTCCCACGGGCACCACTGACGGAGCAAAGTTTCTCCTGGAGCCCCCAGCACGGCTCCCTGCACCCCAGCCTTTGTAGAGTCCCCCCTTTGGTGTGGGGATGTCCCCAAGGAGGGGCTGCCCTGCACAGAGGGACCCGCCAGGAGCCCTGCCGAGCTCCACATTCCTTTGATGTGGCATCTTTTTAATAACAAAGATCTGAGCAAAGATCTTCCTCCAGACGGACTAATTTTAACAAGCAGGCAGGCAGTGGCAAACCCCCCCCCCCCCATCATAAACCTTAATTTCTGTGAAAATTTCCTTTTGTCCCAATTTCTCTTTGTTCCCTGGATCGGCTGTCACGCTGGTGACAGAGCGGTCCCCTCCTGGCGTGCCAGAAATACGGCAGAGCCACGCGTGCTGTTATGGGAGTGAGCAAAGGAGACAAATGGAGCTGCCAGTCCTGGCCAGGGCCACGGAGCAGCTCCAGGCATGTGGCTGTGTCCTCATCATTGTACCTGTCCTTGTCCCCATCCCCATCCCCATCCCCATCCCCATCCCCATCCCCATCCCATCTCCATCCTGTTCTCATCCCTGTCCCCATTCTCATCTCTTTTTCCATTCTTACTCCATCCTATCCATATGCCTGTCTCCATCCCATTCCCATCTTCATCCCTGTCCTGTCCCCATCCCTATCCCATCTCATCCCATCTCCACCCTTATCCCATCTTCATTCCCATCCTACCCCATTCTCATCCTGTCCCCATTGGTTCCTGTCCCCATCCCATCCCAGGAGCTATTTGGGATTCAGGTCCATTATCCCAGTGTGACAGACTCACTGCTGCTGCCAGGCAGAGCAGTGGGGTCAGATTTAGGAGTGCCAGAGAGCCCCCATCCCACCTGGGCACCAGGGATGGCCCTGCCATGGGGAAACCCAGTGGGAAACTGGCTGTGGGTGACAGATGGCAGTGGAGGTGCCACCCCCTGTGCTGGTGACAGGATGGGGACGCTGTGCCTGACCCCAGCATCCATCACCCCACAAGGGACGGGCATCCCACGGGTGCACGTGAGGCCACAGCCCTAATCCCAGGGATTTTGTCCCATGTGCAGCCCTTTGGGTGTGAGGCAGAGACTGGTGCAGGGATTAATGGCTCAGCATCGTTAACAGGTTATTTATAGGTGCTCCTCCGTGCCCTAAAAATCTCCTGGAGCAGGGGGGGTGTCCTAGCTCTAGGGGAGGCCACAGCAAAGCAAAGAGACTCCAGAGCACACATCCAGCAAGATCCTGGTTTTACTTTGGGAAAAACAACATCCGGACACACAGCTTGCGGGTTTTGTGTTGTTTTTTTTTTTCTTTTTTTTTTCTTTTTTTTTTTCATTTTGTTTTCTCATTTTTAAAACAATATAGTGCAGCCAGCACTTCTCACAGTAGAATATAATGGTCAATTTTAGTATAAAAAAAAAACATTCTCAGAGATTTGTAAATGCACTTAGTGCTTGAACAGGCTTTCAGGGATACAGTACCTCTTTTCCGAGCACAATCACCTTGGGTTTCATCGGGATATTATTCTTCTTTTACCTTTAAACATCAAAACACTTTGTATTTCATGGTGAGGAGCCTTTTGCAAATGAACAAATCTATTAAACACAGAATTACACAGAGTGAATAACGGACCATAATTTTGAAATTGTTTGGGTTTAAAAAAAAAAAAAAAAAGAGAAAAAAAGGAGGTATGTGAGCACCCCGGTACCGCGACCCAGAACCAAGGTAGAACTGACAGTAAGGAGGGGAAATAAAACAGCCTGGAAGTGTGAGAGCTGGGGGGTTCCCAGGAGAGAGGGGCTGAGGGGGTCCCAAAACTCCTGGTTGAGTGGGAATAGGAGCTGGTGGCCACTGTGGGGCCTAGCGAGAGGAGGAGGATGAGGAGGAAGAGGGGTGGGAGGAGACTCTGTAGCAGCCAACACGTAGATGTACAGTCTAGTCAACTAAAAAAAAAAAAAAAATTATAAAAACCAAAAAAATCTGTTCAAGTTTTCAAGTGTTTTTTCTTAAATAGCCTCCAGACTGTCCCCAGTTATTAGCTTTAATCAAAGCAGTGCAAGTTACGGACTTCAGCTACAGGTCAGGCGCCAGCTCCCTGCGGCCACGCTGGGCTGGGACCGGCCACCACTGGGCTGGCACTGGCCACCACGGAGCCTCCTGGCCACTGCTGTGCCAGGAGCGGCCACTGTGGAGCCTCCCGGACAGTTGCCAGGTCAGGGAGCCTCCCGGCCACACACACTGGGCTGGGACCCACCCTGGAGCCTCCCGGCCGGCCACGACACCGGGCTCTGCCAGCGCAGCAGAGCCTCCCCTCCCTGGATAGCAGCAACTCGTAGCAATTCCCTGTTCACATTCGTGGAGATAAAATGATTTCTGAGCTATATAGACAAGCGGTCCTTCGGCCTCGGCTTCCAGCGGGTCGCGGGTGTGTCCAGTCTGGGGACCCCGGTGCAGTGCCAGTGTCCCGGGAGCCCTTTCAGCAGCCGACCCCACGTCCCCCTCCCCGTCCCCCTGCCCTCGCTGCCGCGGTCCGGTACCCGCAGCTCGCGCCAAAGTCCTCGCCCTGGGTTTGGGAAGAGCAGCATCGCTCCCTTATCTGTAGACGGGCAGGCGGATGTGGGCGTGCTGGTGGTCCAAGAGCCTTGGCACAGACACGGTCTCGTAGCCCTTGCCCAGCATCTGCTCCTTGATGCAGGGCGGGTGGATGTCGTTGATGAGATACTCCAGGGACTGGAGGCTGCTGCTGAGGATGGAGGTATTGCAGAGGGTCTTGCTGGGCAGCCCCTCGGCCGGGGGCACCCCCAGCTCGCGGGGCCCGGCCCCCAGCTCCGGTGGGTTGTAACAGTCGCTGTTGGGGGTCACCAGGATGCTGTTCCAGGGCGGAGCGAAGTACTGCCCCACGGCGAAGTTGCCGTGCATGCAGTTCAAGGGGGACGAGCTCACCTTGTCGGCGGCGCCGCTCAGGCCGTAGGGCCGCGAGGCGCCCGCGCACGTCTCGGGGGATTTGCTGAGGGCTCCGCCGCTGCCCCCGCTGTACATTCGCAGGTGCTGCTGCTGCTGCTTCTGCTGCCACACCAGGTAGTCCATGCCCTCGGGGTAAACGCCCGCCTTGGGTCCCAGGGTGGCGGCGGTGGCCGGGTTGGAGCCCAGCGCCAGCTCGGCGCCCTTGCGGCACTCGGGCAGGACGGTGCCACCGTAGCCGGGGCCGAAGGCGCCGTGCTTGGCCGGGCTGGGGTGAGCGGCCACCACGGCCGGGCAGCCGGGCTGGGCACCCTGCGCCTGGCACTGCTGATTGATCTGGTAGATGATGCTCTGGATGGAGGGCAGGTTGGAGGGCGGCAGGGCCAGGCTCCTGCCCGCCAGCGGCAGCACCGAGGCCGCCACCGTCACGTTGGGGGGCACGGGACCCTCCAGCTGCTTCTGGCCGCCGTGGTAGCTCAGCTGCCCGGCGCAGGAGGGACCTTGAGCTAAAGTGCTTGAGGCGGGGTAGGGAGCGACGCCCACCTGGGCAGGTGAGAGCTTAGTCCGCTTCCCCTCCGAGTTCTTCACCACGCTTTTGCCGGAGGCTTTGACGATGGCCAGCAGCCCCTGGTAGCCGCCGGCGTGCAGGGGGTAGGGGCTGTACCTCTGCCCCGTGGTGTCGTAGCCGTTCACCGTCCGGTTAAGGTGCTTGTGCTGGGGGACCCTGATGTTGGTGGGGAAGATCTTGATGGTCAGCGGGCTGTTGGCCACCTTCTGTGCGTAGGCGTCCAGCTCGGCGGGGCTGGGGTAGCGCGGGGAATGCATGGGGGCCGTCTCACCTGCGTGAGCAAAATCTGGGGTGAATCCAGTGCCACCAGCATGAGGGGACCCAGCACCATCCTCCCCTGGCTGGATCCCACCCGCTCCCGGCAGAAACCAGGTCACGGCACCGAGCTGTCCCCTCCCGCTGACAGGAGTCACTTGTAAGTGGCCTAAAATAAACTCGGTGTGGAGAATGGAAATGTCACTTTACCCAACGGGGGAATCTTTCTCTGAGATTGGATTTAAACTACATTATACAAGCAATTTCATGGGTGCTTTGCGCTGCTACAAGAACCTCACCAAAAATGGAAAAGCATTGCATTTACCAGCCATAAATCAGCAGTTCCTATAATGAGCACAAAAATGTCACTTTTATGCAATTTTACAGATGAACAAAACTGGTGAAATTAACTGTGGTAACCTACTGGAGTCAGCAAAAGCCACTGCAGAAAAAAAAATTATATATATATATAGTTTTGTTCCTTTCAAACTCTTTCCTGAGCAAGTTTCTGCCATTCTGGTGTGAAAACTCATTTGTCGTTCCCATTATACTTTCATTTGGAGTTTATCTTGAGTATCCAATGAGCCACCAACTGTGAAAATGATTAAATCTACAAAATCTATCTAATAGATGGAATAAATTAGGTGTTTAAAATCTCCACACTCACACACACACACACACTCAGGCACATGCACCTACACGTCAGCACATGGGAACAGTGGTTGGTTCCCAGCTGGCTCCCAAAATTCCCAGCCCTGCCAAGAGGTATCTATGGCACACTGGGAATGCCAGAGCTGGTGCCTGCCCAGAGGAAGGTTTTGCAAGGCAGAGATGGTAAAACTGGGAGGGTTTGGGGAGGCTCAGCCTTCCCAGGCAGTGCAGCTCCCCAGTACCTGGAGCACTCTGCTCTCAATGCCACCAGAATCAGCAACCCCTGATGCCACCACGTCCTGGATGGCAAAGTCACCATGGGAGAGATGCACCTCTGGGAACATTCCACATTCCCTATGAAGGGATTGCCTGTCCCAGTCCCACTCTGAGTGACATTTCCATGGCTGTGACGTGCCCAGATGAACCAGGCATTGGTTAAAACCAGGATTCAGTGGGAAGGATGCGCTGGAATCTGTGACTTTCCACATCACACCCCCTCCCAGAAGCAGGAGAGGGACATAGCAGCGAGGCTGTGGCTGCTCTCCATGCTCTCCATGCTCTCCAATCCATGGCCACTCTCTGTGCTCTCTGTGCTCTCCATCAGTGCAGTAATTGCCCAGGCAGGACGCAGTGCCTGCGCCAGCCATTGCTCCCATTAAGCTGATGTTATGGGCTTTTTACAGGTGTCTTAAATAGACATTGTTATTAACGAGTGTATTAAGCCAATTAAAACCAGTGCCTTTGAGGAGGATTTAATGGAGCTGGCGGAACACAGGAGGAACAGCACCAGCAGCTCCCTCTGGCAGGACACGTGAGGACGTGTGGCACCAGGACATCCCATCCCTCTGGGAAGCTCCTGCAGAGCCAGCAGAGCAGTCAGGACACACTAAGGGGGTATGGTGGGCTTTGCTGGGCATGGGCACCCCCCAGGTCAGAGGGCACAGGGGGCTGAGAATGGGCCAGAGGCATGGCACGGGATGGCACAGCACGGCCCAGCACATCTGCATTCCCCTTCATGCCAGCACCACTGTCCTTGGAGGTGGCAGCATCGTGAATACTCAATTAACGTGACACTAATTAGCTGGTGACACTCGCAGAATCCCTAATGAACCCATTCCGTGGAAATGCTCCTTTCTGAGGAAAAACACTAAAAAAGCCAAGGGGCTGCTGCAGGAGGGAGGGAAGGAGGTGGTGTCACCTGCGGGTTCCCTGATTGACCAAAACCCTGTCCCCAAGCGCTGGCACTACAGGGGACGTTTTTAGGGCTGGTTGAGGGCATCCCACTCGCCATCCCCGGAGCAGCCTTTGTCACCTCCTTGCTCCAGCTGGGTTGGATGTGACAAGCCACCAATTGGGTGTGTTGTCACATCTCAGGGTGACGCACCGCACCCCCGCCGGGAAAATTACAGAGCGGCCGCTCTGCCGGCGCTGCTGCTCTCTGCAGTAATTACTGCTTTTCCAGAGGGCTCTAATTGCTGCAAGATGCAAACTCGCCCGAGCCACTGGCGGGCCTGACACGGCCACTCGCTGTTTGTCCTGTGTCCATTTCCTCCTGAACTTGGAGCATCAGAGCAGGGAATACACAGTGGATCCCCCCAGCACAGTCATCACCACAGTGCCTCTTGCCATTCCTGAACGATGCCACTGCCAGCAGCCACCACCAGCCCCTTTCCCAGATGTTTCCCTGCCTCCCACCTCCCTCTCCCTCACTGGCATTCCCATGGGATGCGTCCGGCACCCCAAGCTCCCCCTCCCTCCCTGACCTGCTCTATTTTTCCAGCCTGCACTCAATAACAGCTAAATAATTGAATCTGCTCAGCAGCCAAAGATTTGGTTTGAATTTTATTGGAATTTTAAATTGTTTTGTTTCTTCAGTGTTTTATTACTGTAAATGGAAAATGCATCGCCCGCAGTAATAATCCGATGGCTTTTTATATTACTGTGAGCTTCTGCTTGGAGCATTATTGGAAAGCCAGGCAGAGAGGAGACCCTGGCTAATGGCAGCACGGGCTTATGAGATTATGCCTCCAGCTAAACAACTTTTTACTTTAGCAAATTGGCCACCAAACCCAGTCCCAGACACAGATGTAAATCCCAGACCCCGCTGGGGCCACGGTCCGGAATAAATCTCGGTTTATGGAGCAGGGAGCTCTGGCCCTGCTGTGCCTGGAGCAGCAGGATGAGGCAAAATGTCTGACAGGGACAAGGGATGGCTGCAGGAGAGGTGGGAGAGATGGGAGAAACCCCTCCCAAAAACCTCCTCAGACATGCCCACCTGCTGCCAGCATCACTCACATCCCCCACATCCCTGGCATCCCACACATCCAGCATTCCCTGCATCTCCCAAATCCCCCACATCCACAGTATTCCCTGCATCCCTTCGATCCCTGGTGTTCCCAGGGACCCCCGTACCATGCCCAGCTGCAGCTGCAGCCACAGCCCACAAAATCTAGGAAAAAAAAAAAGAGGAAGATGGGAAGAAAGGAGGGAAGGGAAGCTAACCAGGGTCTGCTTGGTTAAAGCAGTTGTGGGATCAAAATGGCACCAGGAAGGATGGCCAGGACCAGGAAGGAGAGGAATGATGCTCAGGACCAGGAAGGATGCTCAGTACTGGGAAGGATGCTCTGGACCAGGAAGGACAGGATGGACACTGAGCACACAGAAGGAAGCTCCACTCTGCTCCCACAGCCCAGGGGTCTGTGTGTCCCCCAGGCTGGTGCTGGAACAACATTCCTGGCTGGGCTCCCTCTTCCCTGGAGGAGGATGAGCACGGACAGCAGCAATTTGTGACTTTAATTTCCAGTCCATGAGACTGCACTGCCTGGCTCTGGAAGGGGATGGGGAGCAGGATGTTTGGGTGCACAGAAGGAACAATTTGGGGATCAGTCCTGAGCGAGGACTCCTCAGAGAGAAGCCAAATGGGAATGTGGCAGGACACGGCACCTCAGTGGTTAACAGCAGCACCAGGGACACGTGCTGCTCCCTCCCTCCCCCCCATTCCTTCCGAGATAAGATGGGACAATCCTTATTTTTACACATCGAAGGCGCTACAATGTTTTGCAATAAATGAAAGAAGTAATCTCGGCAGGGAATCTTTATAAAGCTGCCGAAGGCGACGTGTGGCTGGAAGCTTCCCAGCGCTGGGGATGGGCCTTGCCTTCCCTTGGTCCCAAAGGAAAATGCTTTTCACCCCTTTATCAGATGGGAAAAAAGCTCCAGTGGAGGGCTCAGCCCCAAAAAAGCAGCTCAAGGAAAGTGTCTGCCCCAGCTCTGTCTTCATGTGGTCACATTGCCACATTCACCTTGGGAAGGGGAATTTTCCTGGAGCCCTGAGCATCCTACCCCACCTCACCCTCCCTGCTCATCCTCACCTTCCATCCCTGTCCTGCCCTGCCCCTCTTCCAGAATAGCACTGGCATTTCCACCCCTGAGCTCCTGCCTTGTTCCTGCCCGGCCTCTCTGAGCCAGCAGGGCAGAAGGGCAGCAATTAGGCAGGATTTTTAATTGGCACAGGGGCAGGAGGGGTGGGAAGGGGAGCGATGCTGGGTGGAGGCAGGAGCACACTGGGGACCTGAGCAGCAGTGCCAATGGCTCTTGTTAAAAAATAACAGTGCTGCAGCCTCCAAATGAATTAAATTCTGCGAGAGCAGAGAGCTTGTCCCCAGCTTTGGGACCAGGATCCCTGTTCTCCTTGCAGCAAAGCAATCCCAGTGCCTTCAAAGCTTCAAAAAGCATCAAAAATCCCCTTTTTCTCTGCCTGCCACACTGGGAACAGATTTTGTAAGAGCTAAACCCTAAATATTTGCAAAACACTTGGAAGAAACCTCAATATTTGGAAAACACTTGGAAGAAAACAAACAAAAGCTGCTACATTTAACGAAACAAGACAGTCCTTCAAGTTTTGGGTCTGTGCCCCAAGTAGCAAAGCTGCCTGGCAGGATCTGGCTGCCCTGGAGAGCAGAGCCTGGCACAGCTGGCACACGCAGCCGGAGACTCAAGGGCAGGGCAGATTCCAGGGGGTCCCAGATGGGAGCTGGGGGGTGACTGGGGGATGCTGCCTTGCCCAGACCGTGGGTGGGTGTGGAGAGAGCAGCCACGAGTCACCTGTGGTTTCTGGGTGCTGTCAGGCAGGGGGTCATGGGCACTGTGCCCCCTTTCCAGGTGGGTTGGGTGGCTGCCACATCCCTCAGCCCTCCCACCCCGCGCCAGCAGCTGTTTCTATGGTGACAGTGTCCCCAGGATGGGTGGCACAGAGGCCACCACGCTGCTGTGGATACCATGGGGGTCCCTGTCCCCTCTTTCCCCACTGAAGGGACAGCACCACCCCTGACCAGCACCCTGTGCTGTCCCAAAATCGCCGCATGC